TAAGGAAATTTAACTATAACTGTTCATATTTCTCAAAATGGGATGAGTTGATGGACACAGCTGAGGGTACAAAACATCACGTGCAACGAGAGGCAAAATCAACCAAAGTCCACATCAGAGTGCAAAGAAAGCAGAAGGCCCACACACCCACATTTCAAGACAAAATCTACAAAACCTCTTAGTTTATTTATCATGCATATATCAGCATGGGGAGAGACCGCCCAAACATTTAGGCTGTGCTTTTTTAGGTGTGCAACAGTCTTTCAACTTCCACATTGCTGAAGAAACACAACTCCACATGACAGCAGTTGACTGACAACTGAGAGCCAGCTTTGCTAGAAGCTGCAATTTCCCTGGAGTGTACAAACTGCAGAACACCATACTATCTAGTTTACAAACCTTGATACAAAGTGCTTTTTCTCCCATTATTAATTAAGCCCGCATACTGTGGCATTAGTTATAGAGCATTTGCTGTCTGTCACTTTGCAACTATAACATTTGGGTGGACCATGTACCCATTTAAATTTGAATTCCACTCCAAAAGTGGAAGCTAGGTAGCCTCGTTTGCTAATGTTAGCATGGATTCCCACTGGACATGACTTTTCATGGCTTCTAAACTGGGTCACTGCAGAAATTGAAAATAATAATGATTTTTGTTGAATTGTTTTTGGGTGATGTGTTTATAGTTTTGCTGGTGATTTGTTTTTGTGGATGTTGTTGTTGTTGGTTCTTTTTGTAATGTTTGTTTGAACAAAAGGGGCCGAACAGTGATGCCATGGTGGCCATATTAATTATTAGTTTTGTTTTGTTTGGGAGGCATTTGTTGTTTTCCTGAAATCTGTAAGTAGTCAGGCAGTGCACGTTACACTGTGCATTATGTTTTGGAGGAATGGCTTGAGAGAGAAGTTAGAATGAAAGGGTGGGATTTCTTTGGTTTCTTTGGTTTCTTTGGTTTCAGAATCGAGTTTCTTCTTCTGGTTTTTCCAGGATCGCGACCCTTTAAATGTAGTTTTTCTACCATTCCAAACATTGATTGGTTTTCTGTTAGATATGTATTTTGTGTAATTGTATTAGCCAATTCTTGAAACTTGAACACTGATTTGTGTCATTAATAAACTGTTATTATTGATCATTCCCCAAATCAACCAACAGATGTCTAGAATAGAAAAAAATGAATGAATAAAAATCTAAACTTTTAAAAAATGATGATCAAAAATATCAGGTAAACATGTTATCGTCCTTTAAGTCGTTTAACACCAAAGGCATCTTTATGGTGTGTGTATAATGGAAGTCTAATTGCTATTTAACAAAAAAAGATGCAGTCTAATGAAAAGCTACTGTATTTGTATTGATATACATTTAGTCATTCTACTAATGGAAAATTTCACCCAAGCTCATAGGCGGAACCTGCCTGGCTCCACTGTGGGTCAAACTGAGGTCCTGTTGTCTAATCAGACAGAAGAAGCGGTGATCGTGGTAGTAAGGGGGTGGGGGATTGCTCCATCCTCTCCCTTACATTCTTTCTGAAACAACTATCCGGCCTGCACTGAGACAGACGTGGATCATCTGAGCTTTGCAGGCTGACTGGCTGACTGTTACAAAGCTGCACATTTCAAGACAAAAAACATGGGGTGTTCTTTTGTTGGATCTGTGCTTAATTATCACTTTTGGGTCCTACTTCTTAATTAATAAAAAAGTAATTGTTGTTCAATGTGTGAGTATTTATACATCAAACCAGCCTGACTGGAAACTGTGATGTCATGAAGTAATTTTCCCATAGAGGGGAAAAACAGGAGATGACCAGGAAATAACACACATGGGTTCTCATAGGACACATTCATAAAGAGTGTGTGAGGACGAAGAAATCACCAGGATAAACAGCTATTCTGGCCTCATTTACATAAACATTTGGTTAAAGGTTTATGTGATTCTCACTTTGTCATTTCCATTTTATGCATTTCTGAAATTGTCCTTTCTAAAAACTGTGAAGTGGCTAAAATCAGTGGCTTTGTAAACTGGCTAACATTTATGAGAAACTACTTAATGACCTGGCCAACAAAATGCTGAACAGCCTTGGGAGGAACTGGACCTTACAAACAAGCACCCGCCCAGGTGAATGTTTAGCTTTAACATAGGGATGCTGCAGCTCTCTGGGTGGATCCCCACCATGATGTTACAGCCATTACCAAAGCTGAAGCAAGCCCAGCACAGCAGCCTCTCTTTAGTGGATCAAAGAGTCAAGAGGCCATCAGAGCAAGATTTTCTAAAGACAAAAAGGAATGATGAGGTGGAATTGTAAAGTTCCACATCCGTTCTCCTGCATGCTGTGTGTGTGTAACTGATTTCCCATCATAGTCACATCTGTTGTTGCTGAGAGGACTGTTCTTCCTGGTAAGAATAATCATGTCATAGTGATGTGTGTATTCATTCCATATAGTGTGTTACATGACATCTGATTCAGTACGCCCTGTGAACAGAATCACTACTGTCAAACTTTCAAATTAGCTTCATTCTGTGCATTTAGCTCTCTACAGCAAGGTCCTGAGCAGAGGCAAATCAAAATATTAGAATTAGAACCATTACATTTCCCATAATGCAAACGGTACCATCCTTCATTAGACCCTCCATGTAGCTGTCACACCTTGTTTTACTCGCCAGTTTGTAACAGGATTTCTCTTAAAATTGTTAAGACACATCAGGGTTTCGAGGGGTTTCTTGTCGCAGTGGGACTTCTGCTTCTGCAGCAACAGCTGCTCTGTGTTCAGGTTGTTTACAGTTACACTGGGAAAGTGGTGTAGGAGCGCATTAAATAGGGTTATGTTTACAACTCAGATTAGTGTTTTTAGAACTAAACTCACACTGTACTTGTTGTTTGACTAAATATGACTTTGTTTAATGCTTGAACTTGAACTTAGAAGATTAGAACAATGTTAAGCCATGTTTCATTATCTTTATGAACATTGGGGTGTTAATGGTGTGGATAAATAATACACCAGAAGAATTTAAATATAATAACACTCCAAGACACAACATTGTAAAATCATCATGAAGCACGCAGACATTTTTACGTCCTTGTAGACTAAATGCACCACACAAAATATCATATAATTATGTACCTGTTACCACGCCAGAGACATTATAATGTATGTTCCTACTGGAATATGAGAGGAACAAGGGCCTGGGCTATAAAATATTAAACAGTGATATCAAGTATAATAAGGTACAATAAACTCACTATGGGGATATAACAGAATAATACCAGAAGTCATAAAAGAAACTAATACAGGCTGGGCAATATATCGACTATACTCAATGTATCGCAGCTTGTTCTATGTGAGATGTAGAAAATGACATCAAGTACAAATTGTCACATAGATTTTTAAGCCACCAGCGTGAGACTCGCTTTGGAGTTTCACTTCTCTCATTCTTTCCTACCGCTCTCCCCTCCTCACAAACAGGTGTGAGGGAGACAGTGCTGGTCACAAAAAGTCGGCTCTGAGCCAGTTTCTTTACATGGAGGATGGGCACCAGCTCCCATCTGAGCCGGTCTCTGTTTTCTTCCTTTAATTTTTAAACTTTATTTAATATATCACAATAATAGGATGGTCTTTTCGCCATACTGCTCAGCCAGGGGGACAACAAAGACTGAATGCAGTGCAACCAATGACATGTGATGACAGAGATTATAGCATCAGATTAACAGAGGAGGAGGCTGACAGTTTAGAGCACGGAGAGAGGCATGTTAGAACTACAAATGGGTAGCTGACAAATATGCAGAAACATCAGTTTCGTAAAAAGCTCAAAATGTAACAAAAAAAAACTACAGAGTTACATAGCCCAAACTCTATTCTCTTCAGGAAAGCATGTTATTGTTGTTCATTTGGTATTCTTAACTTAACTCCATTGGTTTTTTTTATTTTAACCCCAGTTTGTGTGGCGTGCTACCTTACATCTATGTTCCAGCATCTGATAAACAAGAACAAGTACTTTGAAAAACCCAGAAGGCCATTTCATGGCACTCAACCTAATTCTAAAAGTATTTCCAGAATCCTCTGACTCTAACAGAAGATAGGGGGTAGAGAGAGAAGGAGAAAGAGAGAGAGGGGGAGGAAGAGAGAGGGGGAGAAAGAGAGAGAGGGAGGGAGAGAGGGAAGGGGAGAAAGAGATAGAGAGGGAGAAAGAGAGAGAGGGGGAGGAAGAGAGGGGGAGAAAGAGAGAGAGAGGGAGAGAGGGGGTAGAGAGAGAGGGAGAAAGAGAGAGAGGGGGAGGAAGAGAGAGAGAGTAGAGAGAGTGGGAGAAAGAGAGAGAGAAAGAGAGAGGGAGAGAGTAAATGGTCTTATACTTGTATAGCGCCTTTCTATCCTTTACAGCACACTCAAAGCACTTTCACATTATTCGGCCATTCACCCATTCACACTCCCAAACACTCACACACCGGTGACATCACCGGGAGCAACTGGGGGTTCAGTGTCTTGCTCAAGGACACCTCGACATGTTGACGGGGAGGAAGAGAGGGGGAGAGAGAGAGGGAGGGAGGAAGATGGGGAGAAAGAGAGAGAGAGGGAGGAAGAGAGGGGGAGGGAGGGAGGAAGAGAGAGAGGGACAGAGAAAGAGAGAGAGGGGGATGTAATGTGTGTCTCTGGTAGCACATCTTGTCCTCCAGATAAACAAATGATGGCAAATGACGTGTCACTGACTGGGGGCCAAAACCAAGGACAGCACCCTGTTCACACAAATTAGTTCATGCAGCTTCAAGCCCTCATTCCAGTAAGCCTGGTGATTTAATCATTCACATCCTAACTCCTTGGTCTGTCCATCTGAATAGAGATCAACATCACATCAACCTTCGCAAGAAAGTGAGAAGGAAAAGAGGCAACTGGATGTCAAACAGTCTGATGATCAAAAACACAGTAATATTAAAGTTTAATGAGCATCAACTGCTAACGGCTTGAAAAAAAGTGTTACCATGCACCAGGACCAAAAGTCAACGTTATGCTCACCTGTTGATCCGAGCATGACGTCCAGCCTGGGCAGGGACAGGGACTTCTTCTCAGCCAGCCGCATCCGGACCTGCTCCCGGACCCTCCGGGCTTTAGCCACTGGGTCCGGACACGGGCCGTGCGAGGGAACCACATAAGCGGTGCAAGAGGAGTGGGGCTGCAGAGCGGACAGAAAACAGCCCTCCGCCATCGCTACACTCATCATTACAGCGGGAAACCAACACTTTCACCCGGGTAAAGACAAAACGTAGCACCGACAGCAGGCGCGGCTCTATTGTATGTGTCCGCTGCGAAATGGCAGCAGTAGCTCGATGGTTTGTAGGCGGGACCTGCAGGGTTGGGGGGCAACCTAAATGGTAAACATTAGATTCGAGGACTTGGTAGTAGACAGAGGTAACTGGCTAGGCTGATAGGATGGTCGGGGTCGGGTTAAACACCATAAAACACAACGGGTTAGGGTTAGGATGTTAGATTAGGGTGGAGGGTAGGTTCAGATTAAAGTAAGGGGGAAACACACTTCACTCCCCCCAGGATCTACTCCCGAGTTTTGGGATCTAACACTAACCAGACACCTGCTGCAGGCTAACGTTATAGTATCTCCTCTGATTTGCAACAGATATCCAATTTGGCAATATGTCTGCTTGTACAGTCCTGACTGTAGCATTATTACATTATATCTTGGCAGCACTTGTTTAAAGTCGGATGATTTTTTTTTTCATAAACTCCACACAGAGACTAAAACTGATAATGAATTTCTATACACCTTAATGCCTGTGAATCCAGACCCTGGTTTAACTTATTTGTTTGTACCGTAAAGCCCCATTTTTGTCCAAAAACTGTTAAAGTGATCCCCAATGCTGCCTGGGTGACATCCATATAAGATGCTCTGGGTTTTCATTACAGAACAATGTTTTCCCACTTGCATCAGTACACAGAAACAATGTGGTTAAAGAGCCCGTGGCATACTTTTCCTTGTTTTCTGACTGCAGTGTTATTAAATATACTGTAAACATTCATTCCCAATCTCAGGTGCTATGGCCAGGCATCATATTTGAGCGTCTTCCTCAAGAGAAATGGTGCATTGTAAATACATTAGGCTTCATTTAAAGGGCCCATGGCATGCTTTTTCTTGTTTTCTGGCTTATCTACAATGTTACAACAGTGAATTATCATCTTAGACGTGACCTAAAGCTCAAAAAATGAGGTGTAAGGATGTTCTATGCAGAAGCAACTCAATTTATACACGTCTCACAAACTCTTGCTCGTGAAACTTTTTTCAAAATAACAAGATAAAGTCTTAAGGATAGGATAAGGATAATCACCTTTACTGGCCAAGTATGTTACACACAAGGAATGTGTTTCCGGTGCAGAACCGATGGCAGCCATCTGCGGCACCACCTCAACCGACGGCTATAACCATCGGGGACAACTTGGGGGTTCAGTGTCTTGCCCAAGGACAAGTGATAGCTTAAGGATTTCCTGGGATGGTCATAATCTCCAGGCAATTGTGCGTTCATGTGAATTTGCCTGACATCCACAGGTGCCATTTTAAAAGTGGAATTTTTCAAACTACCATAAACTTGCAGAGATGCAATAATTTCAGCTTTGCCCGATGTCCGTTATTGACCACTGCTGGTGGTGCATCAGGATCTGTTCCCCCAAACAGATGTGTTTCCCCTAACCTTATCCTAACCATAACCATAGAGGGGGACCAATAGAAACGCATCTTGATAGAGGAATGGATTTTGACACAAGACCAGCATGTATTACCACAGCAAGCTTGTTAGGCTAATAGCTAACAGTTTAGATGTGACTGTGTTGTGGTGATCAGCCCAGTGGAGCAGACTGCATGGCCCAAGGTGGGTGGCTCTGTGTAGCCCCATCTCCTTCATGTCTGTCTCCCTGTCCAAGCTATGTTCAGTTCAGACCCATGCCATGCATGGTTCATATGTTTGTACATTTGCCATTGTTAAGCACTGATGTGGCATCAATACTGTTATTTCTTAAACAGCCCATGGCATGCTTTTCCTTGTTTTCTGACT